TCTCATTATTTTCATCCTCCATTACTAGCTTAGCAATTATAAATAGAAATGGTGACTTCCTGCTGTTTCAATACACCTTAGTTTTCTAAAACTTGATATTTTAGAAATGCTTGTTTTAGTGCTTTTTGCTTGTAGAAAACCTATTAACAGGGGGGAGGGCCCTGGTCCTCCCTCAAGTGATATACGACTTTGTTGGCTCCTCATGGGAGACCTCACCCTCTCTAAGGATTGGATGGGGGATTGGGTGGGGAGAAGATATGGAGAGCAGGAAGACTGGATGGAGAGGGAACTAGGATTTGTATGGAAAATAAGATTATTTTCAAGACATAATAATAAAAAGTGAACATAAAACACACACACACACACACACACACACACACACAAAGACTAGTTATAAACCCTAATATCAATGCTGGATGAGATAGTTCAGTAGAAAAAAATGAACCCCAATTGCAAATAAAACAGTCAAACAACTCCCACTCCCTCTGTTAGGAGACCTACAAGAACACCAAACTACACAGTCATAACTTATATGCAGAGTAGCTAGGCCATATGCATACAAGCTCTATTGTTTCAGTCTCTGTTAACCCTTAGCAGCCCTGGTAAATTGATTCTGTGGTGTCCTTGATCCCTCTGAGCGTCACCTAAGGTTTAACTGTGCATCACTCCATCTGTTTTTATTAGTTGCTGGATGAAGACTTTCTGATGACCATTTTGCTAGGCTCTCGTCTATGCATGTAGCAAAATACCATTAGAAATCATTTCATTGACTTTTTGCCATTCATATTTGGTTCTACCCTGGATCTCTGGGCTATCCTGCCTTTGGTTCCTGGCCTCGAGGCAGTGTCAGGCTTGGGTCCCCTCTTATGGCACCAGTCCCAAGCTGGATCAGTCATTGTTTGCTACTCTCACAAGTTTGGTGACGCTATTACCCAGTACATCTTGCAGGCGGACAAATTGTAGGTTGAAGGTTTTGTGCCATGTTGATGCCATTCCCTCCATTGAAAGCAGTGTGTGATTACAGAAGGTGGCTGCTTCAGACTCTGTGTTCCTCATTACTAATCACTCTGGTAGAATTCAGGGAATTTTCATCACACTTGGTTTCTACCTCACCCCTAATATGTGCCCCCAGTTCCAGTTGCCTCTCCCAGGATTTTCTTTTCCAGTCCTTCAACTTGATTCCTTCTTGTTTCCAACCCCAAATATCTTCAGTCTATCCTGGTGCCTCCTCCATTTATATCCTTTGCCAGGGTTGGTTATCTGTTCCTTCTCTCAATGCTGACGTCCCATCTAGCTGGAACCTGGACATGCTACTACAGTCTTTGCGAGTTCATACACACAGCACACCAGTACTGTTGTTTCTGGAAGACATTGTTTCTTTGAAGTCACCCATCATCTTTGTCAATTAAATGCTTTCAAGATCTTCTTCCAGGCAGATTCCTCAGCTTTGAAAGGATTGCTGATGTTGTCTTTTCACCAAAGTGTATTTTTGACTTTCTATTAAGAAATCAGGTGTCCATAAGTGTATGGACTTATGTCTACCTCTTCAATTTGATCCCATTGATCAATCTGCCTATATGTATGCAATGTATTGATTTCATGCACAGTGAGAAAGAAAAGTCTAGTCTCACTATTCCATATGTGGATATTCAGTGTTCCAAGAATTATTTATTGACAAGATTGTCTTTTTATCTAAGGTGATTTTTAGGTGTTGCTTAGTTTTAATTGTTATTGATTACATGACTGATTGCATATTAAAATATTAGTTTTTTCTCACAAATAGGAAAATGATTTAACTTATATGCTCATATTTTTTATCATTGATAATTCTGTTGTCTATACCACTGAGATTTCAGTTCATCTGTGACAAAAACTGCTGTGACATTTAAAAACCACATAGAAAACAATGTTCCAAGAAGAATATTTACTTGATGGCTCAGCGATTAAGAGCATTGCCTGCTCTTCCAGAGGTCCTGAGTTCAATTCAATTCAAATGGTGACTCACAACCATCTGTAATGAGGTCTGGTGCCCTCTTCTGGCCTTCAGGCATACAGAATATTGTATACATAATAAATAAATAAATAAATAAATAACTTAAATAAAAGAATATTTAGTTGAAAAGGTACAATATAAAAGTTGTATGAATGATTGTCTATTTTTATCCACAGTTATGCACATAGATATATCAATGCTCAGGTATTTATGTAGGAGATGATATCATAAATTTAAACATGAAAGGACAAGGAGAAGTAGTGATAAAATTTAGCATTCATGTGTGTGTGTGTTAAGATTACACACACATGATGATGTGCACTGGATAGACATGCAACAAAGAAAAGAGTTCTGACGGTGATGGTGTTTGAATAAAAATGTGAGAGTCAATAAAGTCTAGAATACTAGAACAGATTATGCATCATTCCATATAGGGACACATTAGGAAATGATTGTATTAAGACAGGAGATCTAGTTTCATGGAAACCTGTTCACATGGCATGGAAGTAGTTGGACAGCATATTTTTAAAGTACTATAAAATATCTGCATAAGGAATTTTGCAGGCAAAATTGAAACAAAAGGCAATGTTGAGATTTAATTTTGTTATATTCCACCTTCTTTCTTTGGTTTGTGGCAAATAAACTTTGAATATCTGCTGGCTAATAATTCCATGAAAAAAGATAGAACAAATAATACTATTATACAAGAGGATGAGAAAGTCAGAGAAGACAACACAGAAATAAAAAGAAGGGCGAAGAATAAGAGATGAACTGATATAAAAATTAGTGTAGGAAGAATAGTAGGAGACACTAAAAAGAGGTTGTGGTTGAGTTATTTAAATGCTATGGAACATCAGTCTAGATCACGATACATCATTTAGTCATGTTTCAATATTATACTGTAGTCAACACAGAAATTTGGATAAAATAATAAAACCTTGGGAAAGCTTGGTTTACTTCAATTTGCTTCAAGCTATACCACTCTCAGGCTTATACCCAAAGGATGTTCCATTCTTCCACAAGGACACTTGCTCACCTATATTTAATGCACCTTTATTCATCATAGTCAGGAACTGGAGACAATCTACATGTCTCTCAACTGAAGAATGGATAAAGAAAATGAGGGACATTTACACAAGGAATTATTACTCATCTGTTTAAAAACTGACATGAATGTGCATGCAAATTGTTCAACAAGAAAACATCCTCCTGAGTGAGGTAATCCAGACCCAGACAGATAAATATGGTATGAATTCACTTCTTTGTGGATATTAGCTGTTAAGTAAATGACAATCAAGCTACAATTCACAGATCCTGAGAGGTTACACAATGAGGAAGGCTATAATGAGAAGCATTGATCTCTCTGTTAAAGGGAAATAGAATAGATTCTTCAGCTGAACTGACTGCAGGTGGGGATGGGAATGTGAGTAATGAGTTGCAGGGGTGGAAGCAGAAAGTTCTGGGAGAGACAGCTGGGACTGGAGGCCTATTGGTGGCAGTGTAGAAACCTAGTGTTGTGAGAAATACCTGGAATCAATGATCCTAGTGATACTTCTAGAAATTAATGATTACAATCTCAACTGACTGTCTTTTGTAGCCAGATAAGGCTCCTGGTGGTAGGAGTGGGTTACATTTGGTTGAATTGTTGGTTGTAGATGACTTGTGGATATGCCTAAACAACCCAGACTGTTGCTAGAACAGAGTTTAGCTTTCTGAAAAGTGACAGAGGGGCCCAGTTGACAGAGACAACATCCATGCATCACATTGAGCATTCAGAGGATTAGCTCATGAAGGCTTGCAGCCTTCACCCCTACATTCTAGTCTCTTTAACAAATGAAAGAAGTCTTCAGGCTACAAATAGATAAACACGGACACCAACATAGTCACAAAACTCTCCATATACAATCTGTTCTGCTTGAAACATATGCTGGGACAATGGTAGTGCAGAGCTTGTGTGAGTGGACAATCCATGTTTGATGTGTTTTAGGCCCACCACACCAGATGAAACCCATGCCCTGGAACCAGGGACTGCATAGTCCAGAAACCTAGGTAGAACCAAACTGGCAAAAAAATCATTGTAATTATTACTAATGATATTCTGATCTTCTCATAGATCAGCGCTGTCCAGCCATCATCATAGAGACTTCCTACAACAGCAGATGGGAGCAGGTGTTGAGGCCACCAATCAAAAATCATACAGAGAGATCATCTAAATTGGAGGTCTCTAATCGCGACCCTTCCCTTTAAAATTAGGGAGTACCAGGGAAGAGGTCCAAGAAAGGTTATAGGAATCAGAGGGGATGGAGGACTCCAGAAAAACAAGGCCCATGGCGTCACCTAAGTAGGGCTCAAATAGGCTCACAGAGACTGAAACTGCAAGCCTGGGGTTGCTTTGGTATGTACCAGGTCCTCTGCATATAGGTTAGACTGTTAGCTTGCTGTTTTGTGAGCTATCTAAGAGTGGGGGTGGGTTTTTATGATTCATTTGTCTTATTTTTATACTTCTTCATTCTTTCTGGGTTGCCTTGTCCAGCCTCCATTTGAGGGCTTTTGCTTTGTCTTATTCTTTCTTTTTTGGTCATGTTTGACTGTCATCTTTTGAAGGCCTGCACTTTTCTAGAGAGGAAACCAAGGGGTAATAGATATGAGGGAGGAGGGCCGTGATGGGGAACTAGGAGAAATGGATTAAAGTGACACTGTGTTTGGGATATATTGTGTGAGAAAATAATCTATTTTCAAAATAAAAAGAATGTAAGGAATGAAAATCTGATAAAACAATGGCTCTTACCTAATGATTTCCTGGGATCACACATGCACGGCAGATGATGTGTCACTGAGTCGTTGATGGCCCCTTCCTTAAGTGAACAACTTTACAAAATTTCTGTTTGAAATTGAAAATATTATGTAGTTTGTTCTTGCATGTGGGTCCCATTGTATGGAAATATTTTGTGATATTAATATCAATATATTTAATAGATAAATTTAAGTAAAATTTCTAGTAATGCTACTATAAGGAGATTTTCTTCTTACAAAGGACTGTTATCAGGGCCTCTTTCATGTCTCTGTTCCTCAGGCTGTAGATGAAGGGATTCAGCATGGGAGTCACCACAGTGTACATCATGGCCATGGCTGTCTCCTTCACAGTAGAATTATTAGCTGATGGACACAAGTAGAGACCAATAATTGTCCCATAGAACAGTGAGACCACAGACAGGTGGGAGCCACAAGTAGAGAAGACCTTGTGGATAACTCGAGTAGATGAAACTCTCAGGATGGAGGAGACAATTTGTAAATAGGAAACAACAATGAGTAAGAATGGGGTGACAATAACAAGCCCTCCCAAGATAAATATCATTAGTTCATTAATAAAACTGTCAGAGCATGCCAACTTGAACAGAGCCGATATATCACAGAAAAACTGGGGGATCACATTGTCCTCACAGAAAGACAATCTAGTCAGGAGCAGGGTATGAAACATGGAATGCAACAAAGTAAGGATCCAGGACAGCACTACTAGACTTACACAGAGTTTAGTGTTCATTATACTGGTGTACCGAAGGGGGTAACAGATAGCCACATAGCGGTCATAGGCCATGACCACAAGAAGGAAGCTCTCCATGTCTCCAAAAACCATTAGAAAGTATATTTGTGTCAGACAATTTGCATAAGGAATGGATGGATCATGACTCTGCATGTTCTGCAGCAATTTGGGCATTGTGACAGAGGAAAAGCAGAGGTCAGAGAAGGACAAGTTGCTGAGAAACAAGTACATGGGTGTGTGCAGATGGGAATCCAGTAGAATGAGGATGATGATGATCAGATTCCCCAGGACGGTGGTGAGGTACATGGCCAGGAACAGGGTATAGAACAGGTGTTGGTGTTCTGGGGGAATGGGCAGGCCCAGGAGGAGAAACTGGGAGATGACAGTTTGGTTGTTCATTATTCTTCTTCATATCCAGTATCCTAATGAGAAAATAACAAGATTTCTTATATATCAAAGAAATAATTGAACATATATTTAGGATGTATATTCTACAATAATGGATATGACAATAATGGTAGTAAGTATAATCTTAAACTCCAAATGTCTGTAATCAGAACCATCAATGATTTTTCTCAACTTTCATAAACAGGTTTCTATTTCCATCCTTTCCTAGACAGCTTTTTGCTATTTCTATTGATATACACAGTAGACTAATGCTTCTCTCTCCAGCTCTCTGCCCAATTCTAGTTTGTTCATTTGTAATCTGCTCTATGTTATTTTGTATAATTGATGTTCTTGAAAAATTTGGGAAAATTTTAACATCATAATATTACATAAACTTCAATAAAACTCTTCAAAAATAAAAAATGCTTTAGATTGCCATTTCAAACTCAGACATGCTTGTCACTGTACGGATTTCTTGTCAGTGTACGGATTTCTACTCCACTCTTCACCAATCAACTTCGCTCCATTGCATGGATGACAGGCATCAGAAGCTCAAAAACCCCAAATGAAATTCATGTCTTCACTCTTTGGTCTCCCAAAACATTCTTCAATCTCTTTTCTTCTAGTTTCCCATAGTACAGCCAAGGAGGAAGTTAAGGTTTGAGTCAGAACTCTATGAATTTTGATCCATTCATTTTTTTTGTTTACCTTGAAGTGTTGTCATACATTATAGAGTTTCTTCTTCATTCTCCTCCTATTTCATCCATTTCTTTCTGTAAGATTGTATCCATATGGGAGGATCAGATTTTGTCTTTACTGGAACACAGAAGCAAATTCAGTTCATGTCTATGTTCTCATGCCTCCTGACTCTGCTTGTTTCTTTCAACCTGCTTCATTTAAACTGTGCATTCTAATAGAGGAAGTCCATCATATCTTTTCTGGTTTATTTTTCACATTACCATTGTTGCTCTGAGGATAAGGAAAAAGCTCCTATTAAGGACACAAACGCTGTTTCATTATCTCACATGTGCAAATTGTATGTCCTTATTTAGTATCACAGTGACACTTGCTTTTTGCTCTTAATCAATGTCATGTTAAAACTTTTCACTGCCCTCATTTCAGATTTCTCCTATACTTCCCAATAATTTCCTCCCCTCTGCTTCTCTTTTATCTGCTTCATCCTTACTCATGTGTAAGGTATATTACTTCTCAGATACACAGCTAAATTTATTCTATCTTTTCATAAGTGAGACCTTCAGCCATGTTCTATAGTATTCCAAACATATCCCATGTACTTAAAACTCTGATCACTACTTTAAGACACCTCACCATCAATTGCAAACTCTGTGGAGGAAATGTACCATGTGCTATCTTTCTATTTTATTATTTATAATCATTCTTAATCTCCAACTAGAGCCAGTATCTTTCATAATGCATGAATTTGGCCCATGAATATTTGTTACTTGCTGCTCACCTCATGCAGATTTCATTAAATAAAATGGTACAAAATTTTCCATTTAAACAGATAGACTTGACCAATTAGCACTAAATTTTGCACTTTATAACGAGTGTTGGAGATCTAATATTGTGTTTCTTCAGTGTTAGTGCTAGTTATTTGTATTTCTTTGTAAAACTGATGACTCCAAATCATGTTCATATGCTTTAATGAAAAAAATCATGATATTGGTGCCAAAGACAGAATGAAAAATATTATAAGTAATAAAAAAGTAAAAGCAACAAGAATTTGTGAATTTAGAATCTTCCACTGAGTTATTGTTCAGATGTCTATATTGTGTGTGATGATTAATTTATCCATAGAGTGGGTTAAACCTGATACCAATTTTGGACAAATTCTCATTGCTATGCAGATATTCCTTATTTTTTGAGACAAGATTTCTGGGTGTAACTCTGCACATTTTCTAGAAATGTCCTTTAATATATAGATTTTCAGCAGAGTAATTAACACTTCATAATATGGTGATCTTCATGCAGTCAGATGAAGGAATTAGAGGAAAAGGACATGTCACTGTATCAAAATCTGCATTTTCTGTCTAAGACACAACTCTGTAGCATCCACTCTTTTCAAGGATTCTAATGTTCTAGAAAGTTCTTCGAAGATTGTCCTTATCAGCCTCTCACACTGGGAAGTCTGTGTCCTACGTCACATTCATGGGAGCACATGCACACACACACACACACACACACACACACACACACACCACATGTGTTATTATATGATTCTATTCAACACTGTCTAATGAACCTGTTACATATCTCAGAACTCACAAAAGAGTAAAAACATCTAAGTGATCTAAGCAACTTTCTCTGATATGTACACCCAAGTCTGACTGAATTTTCACAGACTTACAAGAGTTCAATGGAGCTGAATTCAGAGTTTGCACACTTACACATTGTGTATTAGCATTACAGAGATGAAACCACATAGGAAAAAAAATAATATGTCATTTAAAATGATACTCTCCTTATGTATTCAAGACTGGCTTCAAACATGCAGCACTCCCACCTTTGCTTCCAGAAGACTGACATTATAGGTATGTGCCATCATGCCCAGTTTCTCCTTCTTTTGTAAATTGATAGTACCATTGTGATAGGTATGCATGTGTGCAAAGAACAGAAGCCAGAGAAATCGCCGTCAACTGTTACTACTAATGGGCCAGTGGGCTTCACACCATCTTTAGATATTAAGCACATTTTCAAATTAAACAGTACTTAAAATTTACAAGTGATATGTTTCTAACATTCGGTACACCTACCTATAATCTTGGGTTATGTAGAAGTACTGAGTTCAAGAGTTCTTCTTGTACCTTTGCATGAAAACATAAATGGTATTAATTAATATCTCCCTTGATGGACTGCCCTTAGGAGCAATCACAGATATTATCATTAAAAGTTCAAAGATTTGTGAAGATGTATAGATAAAATTAAGCATAATCTTGGGTAGGACATTCTGCAGAGTTTGTTAAGACCCCACAGGAGAAAGTATCAAAAACAACCATTTAGCATTACAGCAGTGAACTCCATCTCACAGTGTTGCTCTTCTGCTGAAATGATTTGATATCGAGAGAAATTTACATGATGAGTAACTGTGATGAACCCATCCATATGAAAGTGGTTACAGTATGACTGTGAAACAAATGCTTGTACAGTATGGTGATGTCTTGAGAGACAGAGAAAAGAAGAATTCTGTCATACCTAGAGGCTGTCCTGCATCACACTGGAAATTCATGTGGATTGACAGAGATCAGCTTATGTTCTTGAATGTACCCAGATCTGCTGAGTACACCGTCACAGTTTCTGGTTCAAGATCCTGTTCAGCTTTTCAGGCAAATGGACTAGTGGCCTCTGTACTCATCCCATTGCCCTATACCTACTCACATTCCCATGGCCATTTCTGGGCCTTGGGAGCCCTACTTCCCTTAGGAGTCCAGATCTGGTATAACTCATTAAAGACATAGTAATTACCCAGGACCTTTCTACAACCAATTTACTCAGGGATTTCTAGTGAAGACCAATTATTATTGCCTATCACTCCTTCCTACACTTTGGGGGAGGAGAAAATTTAATGAAAAACAATAAACAAAATACGCAAACAAATAGCAGTGACAAAAGCTTGAAAAAATGCAAGCCCTTCGCCTGTTCAGGTTATGTCCAGAGGTTCTTCTTGATCGTAGCCAACTTTCCTAGGGGGAAAAAGGGAAGAAGTGTGACTGAAATAACACTACAAGTTATGATACATTATTCTGATAATGATTTAAAGTGTCTAAAAATAATAAAATTTACACAAGAAACTATTAGTAATCAGGTAAGTAACCTAGCCTTTAAAGGCTATCTATTCAGCCCACCCAACAGTAGGGTTTTATTTATTTATTTATTTATTTATTTATTTATTTATTTATTTATTTTTTACAAAACAGGATTTCTCTGTGAAAAAGTCTGGTCTGTCTTGAAATTCATTCTGTAGATCAGGCTGGCCTCTAACTCATGGAGATCCACTTGCCTTTGCATCCTGAGTACTGAGATTAAATACATGCACCACTGCCATCCAGCTCCAGCAATAATTTTTAAACAAAGTGAGAGAGTAGAAAATCACACACATTGGGACAGTTTTTAAAGGACAGCTTCTCTATAGATAAACAAACTTTTGGAAAATTTTAAACTTCTCCAGCCAACTTTCTATGTGTACTAATATGTGAAAAGTCAAGAAAATGAATCACAACACCAACTCCCAAATCTGCTCTAGGGTAATAAAAGAAAGCCTCTGAGTAGTGAACCATTAGGAAAAAAATCTTACCTATTTAAAAAGGCCTTTATAAAATAAACAGGCTCACATTATCTGAAAGTAACTTTCTTTACTGCTGCTTTAAAAAGTTCTCCTTCAGGAAAACTCTTGTCAATATTACAGGTGGATATTGAAGGTCATATTTCATTCCTTAAGTAAACAATAGAGACAGAGACACATAAGAAATCATAAGGTTTTTCTTTCAGGCTTGAAATAGTCACACCAACTGTAATCTTGGCAATGCTTAGTTGTCAGATTCACTGATGTTTAGTCTGAAAGGCAGACAGAAAGGCACAGAGCAAGAGACAATGACCTAGACAGCATCACAAATCTTAAGATATAGTCTTCTACTCTGCATAAATAGTTAAACTTTGAATTTTATAATATAAAAATAAGGTTAGAGACACGTACTGAAAGTCAGTTATTGAGATGGGGAATTGTGTCTTTACTGCTATCTGCCCCGCTTTTTTTGTGAGTGACAAACTGGCACTAAAGTTATTTCATGCCTGACTTCGGTAGACTCCTGGGAACTTGTCCTTGAGCATTTAATCTCCAGGGAGGCCTTAGCTGAAGACCAGGCTGTGAAAGTATATTTTATTCACCAAAATTACTCAGTTCAAGAAGAAGTCATCCTTTTGACAAATCACAGACATAATTATGGCCAGAAAGTGTGAAACACACCACTAAAGGGCTGTGGAAAGAAACACACCACAGCTGCTCACATCAGGGAGGTAAGTAAAGGCATTTGAAAACATGAGACAGGAAAAAGCAATCATGCTTAGTCAATAATCCTATGGCTTTGCCAAGGAGGGATCCTCAATAGCGTCTAGTGTGTCAGCTTTGCAGTAGGGCTCCCCAACAATGTCTACTGTGTTGAAAATACTAGTCGCTGCTGTATAATTTTTAGTAGCCTCCAGCAAATGTGGCAAGCAGATGACATGGTTAATGTTTCCTTAAGTCAATATAAAAACAATTCACATTCTTATGCATGCTTGCTCATTTTGTCTTCTTACCTCTCTATGAAAACCTTAATTGTACCTACTACGACCAGTGTCCCAATCCCTCTCCTTACATGTGAGATCACTTCCCAGTTCCATGTTCTATGAGGTCACCATTGATCATGAGTTTATAAGTTGATCTATAATTCCTTCCTTCAGGATAATTTCATGAACTGACAGACATCAGTTGGATGTTGTTCTGTCTGTGATAATGACAAAGAAAATATCAACCTCAGGGAATCTTGATCCTTATAGGTTTAAATTTGTTTTTGAACGTGGAAACAGTAATTGGGACCCAAGGATTTATTCAGAATTTTAAACACTGTTTTCCAGTTCTGGTTGTATAGAAACACATTTTGCTTGCTAATTAATTAGTTTTAATTACTCCAAGAGGACTGATGCATCCACTCTCTGTATTTTGGTTGACACAAGAAATAAAATGGTTGTATGGTTGACTCAAGTACTATTTCAATCATCCCTGACTACAGAGATGTTCACTTACATTAATGTAATTAAATTGCCTTAGTACTTTCAGTGCTATTTTAGGTAATTTATGATGGATTTTAAAACCCATAATCCCCTCAAGAAATTGTGTGCCCATTTACACATACACTCACCTCCAATCATCTACATGCAAAAGATACATAATATTCCTACAGATTTCTATTCATGATATTCCATATGAATATAATCTCTTCATATCTAACTTCTTTCTACTAGCATGAATTCAAGGCACATTTGTGTAGTTCTTCTGTGTATCAATAACTATTTATTGACAAATAGTATATCATTGTACACGTACGCCTTGATATGTACTTAATCACTGGTTGTTTTTTTTTTCTTCTTTCGGACCATGATAAGGACAACTTCTGTGAATGTTAATGTACAATCACTTGTTTGAATCAATTATTGTAGATATCTAACAAGTCATGTCATAATTCTACATTAAAAGGTTATTTTTCTTTTTACTTTTTAATATATTTTTTTAAAGATTTATTTATTATGTATACAGTATTCTCAGTATTCTGTCTGCATGTATGCCTGCAGGCCAGAAGAGGGCATCAGATCTCTTTACAGATGGTTGTGAACCACCATGCGGTTGCTGGGAATTGAACTCAGGACCTTTGGAAGAGCAGGCAATGCTCTTAACCACTGAGCCATCTCTCCAGCCCTTTTTAATATATTGTAAATTAAAAACTATCATTATTTAAAGTAGAATACAAAGTATTTTCATTATACTTAATTTTGTCCATCATCTTCTCAATGCTATTTTTACCCCTTATTTTTATCCCCAACTCTGCCTTAACCCTGATGAAATTCAATATTCTCTCTTCTACTTTCATATTACATGTATTCTGTTATCCTTCTACATAAAGGCCTGTATTTACCCCTATCACAAGAAATTTTAGCAGTCTGCTCTCTAAACACCATCCCACATAAATATATATAACAATTTTTAATGTTTATGGAGTAATAGCTCAGCAGTTAAGAGTACTTCCTGCTTCAGTAGTGGATATTTTCCATTCCCAGAAACAAGGGGACAGCTCACAATCATTTATAATTCCAATTCCAGGATGTCCCTACCCTATTCTGGCCTCTGTGTGCAACAGGCCTGCATGTGTTGCAGTATTTCTATATGTATAAGCAAACATTTGTACACATAAAATTAAAAAGACTTATTTTTCATATTAGTGATTTAGATTATGCTGGTTTAGTGAAACAGTGGTTATAGGTTCTTCTCTGAGATCCATGGCTTCACTCCTCCCAGGTTGGCATCTAAGATGATTCTACTTCCTTGCTATGGTAAGCAGATCATGGATAAACACAGACATGCAAGTATCCTTGGAAAGGTTATGAGTACTTAAGGCATAGGCTCAGAGGTACTAGAGAATATGGTAATTCTTTTATGGTTTTATATTGTGGTTTTTTTTACATTTAGGTTAAGTTTTCTTTTTCCTTTTTAAAATTTATTTTTTAAAATGACTACTTTTTTCTTTTTAGAATGCCATATCCAGCTGGAGTTGGTGAGCTCCCATTAACTCAGACACACTGTCTCAGTGGGTGGACCAACCCCTTACGGTCCTGACTTCCTTGCTCATATTCTTTCTTCTTCTGCTCTTCAACTAGACCTTGGGAACTCAGTCCAGTACTCCGAGGTCAGTGTCTGTCTCTGTTTCCATCTGTCGCCGAACGAAGGTTCTGTGGTAATATTCAAGATAGTCATCAGTCTGACTATGGGACAAGGCCAATTCAGGCACCCTCTCCTCTACTGCCCAGGGTCCAAGTTGGGGTCATCCCCATGGACTCCTGGAAACCCCTCCAGAGCCAAGACTCTTGCTAACCCCAAAATGACACTCAGAATTAAGATAATTCCTTCCCTGCTCCAATATCTGTCCTTCCTCCATCTCAACCATTCACTCCCCACACTCTCTCCAACCCTCCCCTTCTCCCCTCTCTCCTCCTCTCTCCTTCCCTCTACACCCTCTGCCCCCATGCTCCCAACTTTTGCTTCGTGGTCTTGTCTGCTTCCAATTTCCAGGAGGATCTATATATGTTTTTCTTTGGGTTCACATTATTACTTATCTTCTCTGGGATCAGTAACTCTAGGCTCAATGTCCTTTGTTTATGGCTAGAATACACTAGCGAGTGAGTACATACCATATTCACATTTTTGGGTCTGGGTTATCTCACTCAGGATAGTGTTTTCTATCTCCAAACATTTGCATGCAAAATTCAAGATGTCATTGTTTTTTACCACTGAGTAGTACTCTAATGTGTATAGTTGACACTTTCTTTATCCATTCATCAGTTGAGGGGCATCTAAAATTTTTTCCATGTTCTGACTATTACAAATAGTGCTGCTATGAACATAGTTGAACAACTGCTTTTGTAGTATGATAGGGCATCCCTTGGGTATATTCACAAGAGTGGAATTGCTGGATCCTGAGGTAAGTTGACTCCCAATTATCTGAGAAACTGCCACACTGATTTCCAAAGTGATTGCACAAGTTTGCATTCCCACCAGCAATGGAGGAGTGTTCCCCATACTTCACATCCTCTCCAGTATAGTCTATCATTGGTGTTTTTTTTTTTTTTTTAGCAATTCTGACAGGTGTAAGATGGTATGTCAAAGTTGTTTTGATTTGCATTTCCCTGATTGCTAAGGAGGTTGAACATGCCCTTAAGCATCTTTTGATCACTTGAAATTCTTCTGTTGAGAATTCTCTGTTCAGTTCAGTACCCCATTTTTAAATTGGATTATTTAGAATTTTAATGTCTAGTTTCTTTAGTTCTTTATATATTTTAGAAATCAAACCTTTGTCTGATGTGGGGTTGGTGAAGATGTTCTCCCATTCAGTAGGATGCCTTTTTGTCTTAATGACAGTGTCCTT